TGCAACGGGAACGTGAAGTTCCGGTGGAGGGGTATAGTCAACATGGGCTCGAAAAACATACAGTGAGCCGGGTCCTTATAGTGCTCAATCAGCCCGCACACAGTATCGCTTGAATAAACACCCGGGTCGTGGGAGTCGAAGCTAAACTTGTGGTTCCACTGCTCGATGCGGGCGTGGAGGGAGCGGTCGAACCGCCGGAACGACACGGAGAACAGGTGCTCCTCCTGCGCGCTGTCCCTCAACAGGAACGTCCCCTCGGGCTTGTTGTCCAGCAGCCGTTCCGCCTCATACCTGTCCATTTTGCCCCAGTAGAAGCCGCACCGGGTGATGGCCATCAGGTCCGGCACCAGGCAGTGGATGTAATCGATCTGCGTGTGGATCTGTGGGCAGCCCCCGTCGCTCAGACCCTGAGCCGAGTCGGAGCGCACGCAGAACCGGTTGAGGAATCCCGGGGTCAGCTCAGCCACTTCGCCCCAACGGGCCAGGTATGGGTAGGGGCTCACAGTCAGCGACAGTTGACTGCGCAGTGCCAGCGCCAGCTCCGACACCTTCACTTGCATCGTACGCACCTCTTGCACCGGCCGTTGACCGCCGTATGTGGGCATAGGGTAGGCGCCGGTGGTGTCGGGACTGTTGGCGCCGCCCGACGCCAACCCGTAGGTCTCCATATAGGTGTCGGTATTGCGGGACGTGTTGGCCATCGAGAACTCGTCGATTGTCGACATATCCCGAGCGGTCAGTCCGTTAATCGCTCGACTCCTGTCGTCCATGGCTTCGGCGGTATTGTGTAACCGATTGAATCGATCGCCACATTTGCCACCACTGGAAGTGCTGGCCATCTGATGATCGCCATCGACGACCGGCAACGGCTGTAGCTCTACGGACACCGTCTTCTTATACGCCGTACAGACACAGGAGTCGTCGTCAGCGTCGCCGGTGTCGGCCGACTGGCGGACGTCGGCGCACGAGTCGGTTCGGGCGCACAGTTTGAACGGCACCCACACTCCCGACGACTTCTTCTTGCGCTGCGAAGACTTGATTTCATTGGATCCGTTGCTATGATTACTATTAGTCGTACTATTCTTCTGGTTCTCGCGATGATTATCACCATTCGTGGCGTTATTACAGCAATGATTGCCGCAGTTTTGTTTGCATTTATTGTTTGCCAAACACTGTAACGACTTCTTGCGGCTCCGGCCGAACGTCAGCGAACGGAACTTCCGCTTCACTGTCGCGCCCGTCGACGTACAGGCGCTGCGAGCCGTGGCCGCTATCGGCTCCTGAGGTGCCGGTGCCGTCGCACGGGTCGCGCAATCGTTACCCACACTATTCGCACTACTTTTGGAAGACTGGGCGCAGGGCTTGTCGTCGGTGGAGGACTGGCTGGTCGTGGCTGTCGATGACTGGCCGGCACCGACCCCTTCATCGCTACTTTTCGCATCCATTTCCATATCGTCGGACATCGTATTCACGGGACAAACACACGTATGAATCAAATTCGGGCGACAAATAAATATTTTTACAAATAATTTATATATAAAATCGTTTTCACGGATAATATAAAGTCTTAATGAGACGTAAAAATCAATAAAAATATATATTTTGTTTTCTCGTCTATGAGTTGCTATTCAATGAGATTTTTTTTGGCCGCAAATCGACAGCATTTGTCACACAATTATACAGTGATGTGAGAAACGTCTCGAAAGTCTTCGTGCAATAGAGTCGAGTGAATAGTCTGTAAAGAAAAAATTTTTTTGATAAAAAACTTCAATTAATAATGAGATATGATATGAAAAGATTTGAATGAATGAATGGGAAATTAATGAAAGTTTTTTCGCTCACAAAACACATATTAAGTACAGATATCACTGGCGTTTGCAAAAAAAAAGTTTTCGACAAAACAATGTTCACGTATCGGGCGATGAATAACAAAAGTATTGAATTTCTAGACTTTTTTCGCATTTGCGATAACATTCACTACACAAACAAAAGTGAAACACAAATATCTAAACATTTCTCAATCAGTCTCTCTCTCTCTCTCTCACTCACTCTCCGGGAACTAATCAAATGACACAATCAAACGATAGTAAAGTAATACTAATATATATATTTATAAAATCAAAAAAGAAAATAAACACAAATAAAACGCTAAACGAAATCAAAAATAAATCTCAACAAAAATAAAAATCACACAATTTCTCAGACCGTAAGCAATAGATAAGTTTATTTTGTGCCGTTTCTCGCACACCATCACCGCGTATACCAATACACTTCTCATACGACTTCATAAACCAAACCCTTAATGAGAAGTACAGTAATTATAAATACAATTCATGCGATACTACACTCACTACTACCAGTTGACCTCATTTTTCAATCACTTGTTTCGCAAATTCAATACGTATTACGAGTTTTTTAAAGTCATGAGTGCTGTTCAACAAAAAGCACACATACGACGGGTTAACATGAAATTAAAAATCCTTTCAATTACTTAAAAACTCATTAAAACAAACTCAATATTTATAGCCTTTTAAATGCACACTCGTTAGGGAGTGAAAGGCACTTATAATGTGAAAACTCGCAGCAAGTCTATAGCCTATGTCTATATCTCCCGATAACTACACAAACTATTACTCTATTATTCAATCGAGACATGCATTCATACGTTAAGCACCAAAACGTAATGCAATTATAAATTCATAATTAAGTCTATGGTTTATGTCATACATGTTATAAACGACATCATCGTAATGACAGTAATAAATTGGATGAGATTTAGGGACACAAATATATATATAACTCATGGCATCAGTATATCAGCAAAAATGTCAACTAATTTCTTGGGAAAGAGTCGCTCAGAGAGTCTGAAAGTCTGGCGAAAAGTAGTCTCGAAATATACATGAAATTAAAAATACACGACAAAACCAATTACAACATCATAATATTATAATATATTTACTATATATCATACAAAAGTTAGCTATGAATGGGATGTTTGTGTGAGAGAAAACTGAACGACAAAAACGGAAAGTAATGATGAGATTAGGGTTTATTATACAATACATTGTCTTTCGCTTTCGTAACCACTATCTCAAGCCTATGCCACTAATCATAGGCTTTCTTAAGCATTAGGTCTTTGTTTTACAACATATTACGAGCACACAGACTATACTTATATCATAGTTGTAGTGAAAACCACTGCAAACTAGACTACATGAGCGATAACTCTATTATTCTCAACGCCTAACCACTAGTTATATCTCATCCATTGCCTCGAGAGTGAGTCTAGTCTTAAGACACATATACACAGAGAGTGAGTATTACAAGTGGTTCCTCACAAAAACCAGTCCTACAATACAACTACACATAAAAACTCACTCATAAAACCAAAAATCTGAGGCACTGGTAGTCCAAAAACCTCTCAAACACATAACAATTTAACAATTGGCCCCAAAAAATAACTACTTATATCTACACTGACTATAACATGTAGACTAATACTGTGTAATAGAAAAAAGTCTTATATAAATACACCACACAATTGGCGTATAAATCTATGGGAAATCTATGTTTGCTTTGCATTATACACACATATACGTGAGTCCACCGCAGGATTTACGCTGAAATTTATGAGTCAAATAATGTCTAAAATTAGATGAAAAATAAACACTGAAAACATAGTACAGTATATATATAACAAGTGCACAAATCTGTGGCAAATGTCATGCAATGGCATAACGTATTAAGTCACTGGCAAACACACATACATACCACACATATATCATACAGCGATAGTCACCGCACAATAGGTGCTCAAGACTTTTAGCCACTTTAGGCCATAAAAGCAAACCTTTTTGTTTGTTTGTCGGCCAAAGATTTTTACAGCCGTTTCAGTAAATATTAAACTAAAAATTTTTGCGATAAAATACTTGTCATATCAGCAAGGTGAGCAGTTCATACAAAACAATATAATACAATAAAAAGCCATTAATACATAACAAATATTAATATATACTTACGATTAGCGTTTGTGACTGATAAAAATGATAGTGGTGATATTGTGAATGTGTGTGAGTAGCCGTGGTACAAGTAGATTTGTTTTATGGGTATATTTATTACTATATTTAATATCGAGATTTTTGTATTTCATTCACAAAAAACACATATCAATTATATATATATAGAAAAAGCCTAATAATCGCCACAATTATAGTCAACAATTCATAATGTATTCACGATTACAACCATTTTGTGAGTGTCTGTAATGCTATTCACACGGTATTAGCCATACGTTTGGTACGCGAGTATTCACTGGCTTTTCGCACACAAAACAATTGACAACCGAAAAGCACTCATAGCTATAGCCCATAGGAAATACACTATAATTATACGAAACACGGGTTTAAATGAATACCGAAATCACACTCAAATCGATGGCATGTATATCGCATACTAAACACCACACAAATCAATACCAATACGTTTATCTCATGTTTATTATTAATAATATTGTGATTGTTATTATTAATTACAATCCCATTCACAACATACACACACACTGTGAGCACTGGTATGTGATGTTCAATGGCTGTACTCTACTGTATGCCTACAATCGTATATAATTAACACACGATTTCAATAGCGATGTTAATTGACATACGAAACGCTCACTCAATGCAGTCAACGATAGCACTAAAGTCTATGAATGTATCGCACAGTCTATGGCACTGACAGTCAGTGTTGTATTTAAAGGGATGACTCCATACGCGAATGGCTGGCAATCAGTGCCACTGTTTTATCAATGAATTTAATGAATGAAACCCAAAGCGACCAATCGGTGAACGCCGTGAGACACTCACCATTGCGTTACGTCAGTCGCCAACCACTTCAGTGGCCATTCACGCTGGTGGCAGCAAAACGGGCGTAACTCACGGGTGGGTTTCGTACGCGTATACGTGCGGCTGTTGTGAGGCGTGAGTTACGCCCTTTTTGGTGGATTGCGAGTCGCAATGATAGCGCTTTAAAAGTGGCGCCAAATGTGAATTTTGCGCTCATTTTCAGTGTTTTTATTATCCATTCATTTGTGTCGTGTTTTTATTGAAGACTTTTACTGAAGACATCTCCGCCATCATCTCATCCGCCACTTCATCCACACCTCCATTATGGCCGACACTAACGCTAACGTGGATTGTGTCACACGTTTTGGTCACTGCGACGGACACACGGACTGCACGTTCATCGACGGCAACAAGTGATACACCGATCGCCACAACAGCTGATCCTTGACTACTGTACTAACCATTGAATTGATCCCAAAGGCTGATGACGTGTGGCGTGGACTCGGAGGTCAGGGTTTGGCCCGTAGATGACACGGACGCCGACGACGACCAGTCGGACTCGTATGCCGTCGAAGACATCGCGTACGCCATTGTGGCGAATGTGAGTCGCGATTGCCATCCGATTATCACCTCTTAAGCTAATCCAATGCCATGTCTTCGGCACGCAGTCCACAGAGTTCTTCATCGCCTGTGACTCTAATGCCGTGAAATCCTATTCAGTGAGCGATGGAGAGAACGAGAGGACTGTCTGTCGGTTCACCACAAATGCCACTCATCTGGACATCAGTTCCGACGGACAGCTGTTGGCGGCGTCGGCGGCGTTAGTATTGGATCCGCTCTTCTGAACACATTGTCTCTAATTGTGTCCGAAATGAGTGTTTAATTGTCGTATTGTTTGTGTCTTTTGTAGTGATTTTACGCTTAAACTCATTGATCTCGAGAATAAGGACCAAAAGACTTTCGACGGACACTCAGCGCCGGTACTCAGTGTGGCGTTGGATCCCAAGCGCCAGTACTTGGCGTCGGCCGCATGTGACGGAACCGTTCGCGTCTGGAATACAGATAATCAGAATTGTGTCCACTTTTGGTCCGACTGTTGGCCCAAAAGCAATGACTTCGAGAACTCCAAGACGTTGGGCCGCATCTGTTGGGAGCCAATCAGCGGCCAGTGGATAGCCGTTCCCCGAATGGATCGCATCGATGTCTACCGTCGAGACACGTGGGATCTGATGTCCACTTTCAGACACGACAGACTCACGCAGATATCGATTGTCACGTATTCGGCGGACGGGAACTACTTGGCTGTCGGTACCGGCGATGGCGTTGTCATGATATGGGACTCTAAGGGCGCCGCCGACGCGGAACCGATCGCGAAGTTCTTTCACAACAAGTCTTTGCGGATAACATCACTGAAATGGAACCCAAAGTCTGCCAAACAGTTGTGTTTTTGTGATATCAGCGGACAGTTCAGTGTCTTAAACGTCCAGAATTTGGTGGCGAAGTCTGCAGACAATCGGTTGGCTCTGAGTCAGGAAGTGGTGAACGACATGTTCGCCGATCTGTCGGACGACGACTTCGGCGCCGATGAGGACCTGACGGACGGCGCGAACCTCAAGACAAGGACCGTAAGCCTGGATCTGCCGAAAGTTGAATACAATCCCAAATTCAAGCAAACCATTGAAGACCGGAGGGAACGGGCGGTCGATGACACCGGTGCCGCAGATGAGGACAATATGAACGCCGAGGAGGACAACGAGTTCGACATCGGAGCCATTAAATCGCGATACGAGTCCCAGATATTCGGTGAAACGGGTGATCCACACGGGTCTCAGAGTCGGGCTGAGGGTCGACCCCATTCTCGACAAAGCGGTGGTCAGCCAGTGGTGGACGTGAAGGACGACGACACCGCCGCCGATGAGGAACCGCCGGAACCGTTGCCCATCAGACAAGAGCCGTTCCAATCGGGCTCAACGCCCATACACTTCGAGCAGAGGTTTATGGTGTGGAATTCGGTGGGAATCGTCCGGTGCTATAACACCGACGCCGACAACTCGGTGGACGTGGAGTTTCACGACCAGACGTACCACCACTCCATCCATTTGCCGAACGTCCAGAACTACACCGTCGCTGACCTGTCATCGGAGGCACTGGTGTTGGCCACGAATGGCACCGACGAGTCGGCCACTTGTGGTAAACTCTTTTGCATGCTTTTCAACATATGGGACGCCACTAAGGAATGGCAGATCGAGATGAACGCCGGCGAGTACATCGAATCGGTGGCTACCGGTGCCGGCTTCGTAGCCGTGGCCACCGACCGGCGCTTTGTGCGCATTCTGACCACCGGTGGTATTCAGACAAACATCATATCCATCGCTGGACGGGTGGTCTGTATGGCGGCGTTCGAGCGCTTACTGATGATTATATACCACTCGGCGGGAGGTGTGCCCGAAGAGCAGAGTCTGGCGATGTATGTGTTGAGGATAGAGCACAAGCCTATTGCCAAACACCCGGTGCCCAATCCAGTGCCCGTAGCGCTGAGTCCCAAGTGTGAGGTCTCGTGGGCCGGCTTTACCGACGAGGGGACGCCATGTGTGGCCGATTTGGACGGTATTATCCGTATTTACAACACCGGTGTCGGCAATACGTGGGTTCCGATCGCATCCACTAAAGACCACGTGAGTTAGCCATTAGTTCCAGAGGTTTAAGTGGTATTAAACACTTTGTTTTGTCTATAATTCACAGGCAAAGGGAAAGTCCGACAACTTTTTCGTGATTGGTTTGAGTGAAATCCAGAACCAGATTCGCTGCATATTCTGTAAGGGCACCCGATTTCCGGCTACCGTTCCCAAGCCGTCGGTCACTCTATTGCCACTTCAGATGCCGTTGTGTGAGATGTTTACCTCCAAAGGCAAACATGAAGTAAAAATCAAGACTTTTTTTAAAAACTTTCGTTTGAATCAATTGATGATCAAATTGATGTTATTTGTGGTAACAGGAGGAACACATCCGAAGCCAACTGTTGTCATCGCTTCTCAAGCGGTTATCCAAAGACGGCTTTGACGTGGACTCGAATCTCGAGGAATGTAACAAAACTGCCATCAATTCACTCATCAAACTGTTTGCCGTAAGTGTTGATCCATTGAATACCAATTCATTGTCTGAAACAAAACACTAATGAAAACAACGTATTCTTCGGGTTCTTCGGCGCAGATGGCATTGGGAGCGGACAGGGAATCGCTAGCCGTGGAGATCAGTCACCTGATGCCCAACAAGAGGGCAGTGGAGGGCGCCATCAAATTCGCCGAACGCCAGAAGCGCCGCACTTTGGCTCAAAAGTTGGCCGAAATTGCGGAACAAAAACTCGCCGAAGAGTTGAACCAATTGTCGGACGAAGACGTGGAAGTGATCGACGAGACGAGCGAAATGCCGTCCAAACTGCGGATCCGCTCCATCGAAGACCGGCAAACGGCTAATGAGTTTCAATTGAAGCCCAAACCCATGCGGAAGGGGTCGGCCGTCGCGGAGGAACAGGAGTCGGAGAGCGATAGCGAATCCATTGTCAACACGAATGCCATCGAAACCGCTGAAGACATCTATAGCGACGACAACTCCAACTCGAATAGCGTTTCGCTGAAACCGAAAGCCGTTTCCATTACTAGAGAGCAGTCGCGGGGAAATCCGTTTAAAGTGACACAAAACACGCGAAATAAACGCAAAAAAGGCGGCGAATCGAGCGATGAGGACGACGGCGATGGGGACGACACGTGCGACGGACAGGCCTTCAGAAACTATTACAAACACATGAAACAAATCATTAGAGACGACAACTCGGACGTCGAGGACGAGGAGGAAGTCATTACCATCGCTAAGGACCGGTTCCGCGAACTCGACCGCACGGAACGGCAGGGCTGGGCCTCGGGGGGCGGCCCCAGAGCTCAACCCAAAAAGCAACGCAAAGGGAAAGCCGACAAAACGGACCCCAAAACCATCACAAACAAGGAGAACGCGAGCAACAAAAAAATCACAAACTTTTTCACCAAAAATTAATTTATATTTTAAAATATTATGTGTATTTTAATAATGATTTTGTAGTGTTTTTATAAAAATTAATTATAATTATAATTAAACTCTTAATTATCATCGCATTCATAGATATATTCACTCCGTTTCCGTGTATTTATTTGAATCGTAGTCCTCGTCGTTGTCTTCGCTCATGAGGTTCTCCTCATACGTGTCGTCGTCCGTCATCTGGTGGTCGTCGCCATCGACGCCATTATCGTCGTTATCCTCATCCGACGAGTCGTCGTCGGCGCCTAAGTCTCTCATGTCGTCATCCATGAGGTCCTCGTCGTCGGAGGCGTCCGAAGAGGACGACGACTCGTAATCGATGGCCGGCTTTTGGCGCGATATATAGTCCGTACTGTTTTGCGCCCGAATCTAAGCCACGGATTAAATCGCCGTTAAATAAGCCGTCAATTGAAACACAATTACGTATTCAAGCGTTAAATCAAATGTAAAAAATCTCATTTTAACGCAGACTTATAGCCAAAAACAAATCAATACCTGAGATATCATTAAATTGAGTCGACCTTTGAGTCGATAAATTCGGTCTAAGATGTGAGTCCTCGCGTTCATCAGCTCCAGCAGTGGTGCGAACTCTTCCTCAACGTTTGGCAACTGATCAGCAAATATAGTGAACCATAAAAATCAATACAACAAAAGCGCGGATCAAATCAATGGACAACTTCTCTCGCGGGACACTTACGCTCATGAGGAACGTGAGCCTCAGGTGCAGCAGCTGTTCCAACCACTTGAGGTAAACCACGGTTTGTTCACTTTTATTGAATAAACAACTCTGCAGTTCGTATAAAAACATGGAAACGCAATCAATCGGCAGTTTTTTGATTGTATTTCTCATCACTTTCTCGTCGGTGGTGTTGAGAACCGTTTCCAACATTTTCTTGTCTTTACTCTGCAGTCCTTGCACTAAGAGATGCGTCAGACTATCACTACTGGGCTGTGCGGCGGCACTGGTATCCGGAATCTCATTCGACACGACCAGTCGCTCCTCGAAAGTCATAAGCCTTTCCTCCGTCGGCTTTTTCGGCGTTTTCGCCGACTTTTTGGTACTTTCTATCGCTTCCGGCAATTGATTATTCACTTCAACCGGCGTTGAGATCTCGTTGTTGTTATTGAGTGCCACTGTCTGTCGGGTGGGGGCCATACCCGCCGGTCCCACGACAGTCGCGTTCTTAGGCTTCAGCGGGCTCTTGATTTTAGTGAACCCACTGTCCACCTGAAGCGTCGGCTTTACCCCCTCGTAGGTGTCTTTGCGGATCAAAGTCTCGGTTTGGTCGCACTTGTCGTATGCTATCCTCTCGAACGTCGGCGCCAGTAGTGAGCCGTAGATGAGTAACACTTCCCTATCACTGCACACTTGAGCTGATAGTATCATCAACTGCTTCGACGGCACCCTATTCGAGGCCGGCGTCGCTAATCTGATCGTCACTTTGGGAACAATTGGCGCTTTTCGGTGTCCGTTCAGCACGTGTTCAAAAATATATAACAAACCACTTCTCGTTACGACTGTTATTAAAATGGGCTAAAAGTGGACACAAAAAACGAGTCACAAAAAAAGTTCTTGGGATCAGATGGAGTGACAATGGCTCACGTGATTGGCTTTAATCGAAGATATGTCTAAACTGATGGACTCGTCGTCTAATGCAAAAGATGCCAAAGAATTGCTAACTCTTTGTCGCGAATCGGTTTTCATTTGCCTATAAATTGGTGGACAATAAACGAGACAAACATTAAGACACCTCAAGAGCTCATTAATCACACGATAACCACAGACCAGGCATTGACGAGTCGGTCGCCGACCGCTGAGGACAGGAAATAAGAGTTGTAGACCTCGTCGGTGTCGGGAAGTCTAACGTGCTTTAAGAGATGCACTTCCGATGCGTGTCCCGAGAAGTGCCTCAATATTGTCTTCTGCTCCCAATCTAACCATTTGATGGAATTGCCGGCTATTAAGACATTCGTCGAGTCGATGGCACAGATGGCGGACAACGAGTGCTTGTCGGGCGTCCACTTCCTATGCAAACAGACCGTACAGAAGTAAAGCCATTAATAAACACCAACTCTTTTGTATCAACTGATCCACCATTTCGATCCGACACATACTTCTTAACCTTCGACGTCGATATACACCACTCGATCACCTGCTTATCGCTGGAACAGCTGAACAGCGAGTCCGCGGCCGTCAACCAACTCATATCATTGACGCGATCTTCGTGGCCATCGGCGGTCAGCTGTGAGTGTAAATCACTTTTGACGACACTATACAACAGTATATTCCCCGTCACGGTCCCCAACGCCAGCAGTTCCAGTGACTGCACCTCTTGTGTCACGTTATCGGACGTCCGGCGCTTCCGTTTCTTCTTCGGCGACACCTTTGAGAGACACAAACCACAAGACATTAGCAGCTGATCCGAGACAGACAGACACCACTATCACTCACATCGACGCCGTCCTCCTGTTGCACGGGTTGGGGATGTCTTGCGGGCCAACTGATGGTCACACACGTGGCCGACAGATGCGACGACGGCGTGTACTCCTGCTTCAGATGTCCGGAGAGTGTGTCCCATATCTTGAGCTGTCCGTCGAGTGTGCAGTAACTGAAATACTGGCCGCAATCGGACAGCGCTATCGGGTGATTGGCCACTGCGTTCATATTGTCATCACTTCGCGGGATCAGGTGATGGTTAACGAGTTAAACAACTGTTTGCGACCAAAACACGTGTTTGCGATAAACGTGTTGAACACAAATGAAAACCATTTTTTGTATACAAAATACGATTACAACACAAATTCCGTTCAATTCAATGCTTTCCCAATGGCATGCATTAGACTCGGTTTTGTAGCTGAATATACGGTTTGTGTTTTCAATAACCAATCGCTACTATGAATATTGCCTACAAAATGTTTGGTTACTTCTCTGTATAACACGATTGTGTTGGGAATTCTATAGGCGTTGAGTAGGAGTATTGCAGTGAAAGTACAGCATAAGGTAGAGTTTGACACTGAAAATGATTCCTATGTTTGAATGTAATATTAAACTCTGTGCCTATAAAACACAAAAAACGTACACTTTTCTGGGGGGCGCCCCCAAACTCGGTGTAAACTATTACCGTAATAACAGTTAATTAATTAAATCAATGGATTTAATGACACTAAAAATGAGTACAAATCGTATAATATAATAGAGATTTCATATGAGATAATACATTACACCATAAGATTATATATGTATGCGAATGAAATAAATAGTAAGCAATGGATGTCAATGGGTATTAAAATTACTAAAAATACAAAATGTGTTTAAAATTAATGCAATTAAACAAAAAAGTTATGAAAATCAATATATTAGTCGCGAGAAAGTTATGTATTTTAATCCGTAAATGTTATGTGAGTTTCGGTTGACGTCTGAGCGTTTCGATGTCCAGAATCTTATTCCTATTGACGGACGGTTTGTGTCGACTCTTGTGGTGATTATCACCAAAATGTGCCAAATTGTGGGCAACTCTTGGCGGCGAATACGTTAAGCCATACTTTTCTAAATAGTTTTTCGTGGCGATCGACACGTTTTTCGTGGCCATGCCGTACACATTCACATCCCTATCCCTCTCACTAGAGCGCCAGTCCTTCATCTGCTCGTCCCTTGTCTTCATCCTATGCTTGGGTTTAGTCTTGTGGTGATCCCCGCCCACAGTCTCGCTGTTCACACAATACTTGGCCGCCAATCGCTTAATATAAAGCGTTTGCTCTGATTGTACTTCAATGCGGTGGTGCTGTTGGTGGTGCCGGCGCTGATCGCCCGGTGCCTGTCGTCGGTGCGAATGAGGCGGCGTTGGACTACAACTACTTCTGCGACCGCACTCGTCATCGTCGGTCTCATCGATACTATCGTTCCTAAGCATCACTTCGATGTCGTTCAACACTCGCCCGTAGAACTGGTTATCCTGCGAACCACCGGCGCTATAGTCGTTGCGAATCATTTCAATACTTCCGGAACTGTTGTCCAATCGGTGAGCACCGGTACCGCCGCCTCTACGGACAGGACTGTCGCTGAACTCGAGTCGCTTGGAGTCGATGTCGATGTCTGAAGGGGTGTCGCCTTCGCTAATGGTATTCAAACGCAGGGCTCGAAGATCTCTGGAAGCAGTAGACGGTGTCTTCGATGGGCAACCATTGGGTGATAATCTGCTTCTGGATCTACGGTTCGCTGGCGTAATGTTTTCGGCGTTTTCCACGACAATCGATGTCATCGTCTGAACGGATCGTTTGGTGATGTCTTCGGTTTTCTTATCGTTAATTTGATGCAAACTCAAGAGCTCTTTGATCTGTTCGCTGATTCGCTGCAATTGGATGTCCTGTTGTCTAATCATATCCAGCATCTGCTCACTGGTTGGCAATTGTACGCCATTTTGAGGTAAACTCTTGGGTACTGTCGCGCAATCAGCGGCCAATCGCTGTCTATTATGGGTAACCGGTTGTTGAGGTCGCGGTTGAGTCTCATGTCTGACAATCTGAGGCTTCGCTGTCATCGCTATCACTCTCGGATCAATCGCCTGTTGTTTGTCGACCGCATCCGTGGCTAGTCTTCCGTTTGTGAACACATTCTTCGGGTTCGCGTTCATCGCGACATTCGCCGCACTCGTATTGTCACTAAAAGGCTGTCTTCGGCGCTGATTCACACCATTCGCATCGGCAGTAAAAGCCGGCAAACCTTCCGCCGCATATCCGCCACCAAAACGCTCACCAAATGTCTTAAAATCATGTGTTAAACCAATCGGCGGTGATCTCTGCTTAGGAGGCGATGTCTGCGGAGGTCTGGACGTGTGGTTCATGTGTGGCATCGGGTATATCGTCGTCCACTTGTTGCCGGACACGTGACCCGCGTTTTGATGATAAAACTGGTGACCATTAAGTCGGTGATCATCACCACCGAGTGGTACATCGCTGGTGATGGATACGTCGGGCACCATTGGGCGCGGGTTTATCACACGCGGCGGCTCCGGTATGGGCGCCGGCAGTATGAACGGCATCTCAGCCGGGAATACACTGAACGCGCGCTTAGTATTCATCACTATTTTAAACTCACATCTGATTTGTAATTAACTTTTGGATTAAATTATAAGAAATTAATTGTAAAACAAAACTCAAGGAAAACACAACAAAAATAAACACATTTTTTGAGCGCCAAATGCTTGCGTCTGATTGGCTGCCACTGAGACTCACTGCGATTGGCCCTCTTATAAGCGTAACGTTATTTGTGAATCGCCCGCAATGTTGTGAAACACCAAAAAAGTTGCGAAAAGTTACGCAAAAACTTGTAATCAATTGCGAGACTAATTGCAAGAGTTTTCGGTGATAATTAAGACACCAATGAGTGCGCCATTAGATCCAGATGTGAAAGACATCAACGATTTGGGCATCGAGTCATTCCTCTCACCATACGTCGACCGCTTACTCAAGAGATTCACTCCAAGAAGTACCGACGGTTCCGGTGGTGATACCCGTGACCACCAACTCGTGAACCACGCTTTAGATGATAATCTGTGTCTCAATTGGTCTCAAGTCGCGCGTCTCATACCGGACGACATCGATATCGACGCCGAAGTCGATGAACAGGTCGTCGACAAGTTGGTCACCGTTTGTCACTTAATTGAATCCATTGATGGCATATATGGCCGACGGATTGCCACCGATTTCGACGGCTTCTGTCGCTTACTATCAACGAACCTATTCTGGACTCAAGAACTTCGCCACACATTCATTGAATCCGTGCGACTCGTGCGCCAAGACATGAACCAAAACATCGCCAAAAGCGCGGACAACATCTTAAGCCTACAGCTGATCACCAGCTGTTGCGAGCAATCGCTGGGGAATCTGATCTTAACGGGCGTCCCATTCGTGCCGCCGCTACTCAAAGACCTCTTACGACTGCCGCAACTCAAAGAGATCATCGGCGGTGAAGCGGTTCTGTTGCTGCAGCTCACGATAGGGTCGCCGATCACTCTGAACGTACGCAACCTCTTATGGCACGGCTTTATGGCCGCCGAAGACGTTGACCACCGGTTCGGTCTATTCTTGTTGTGTATTTGCGCCACAATTGGTCGCGATTTGAGCGACAAGTATCGCCACAAACCTCTACCTCAACGGCCTCTGCAGGTGATCGCACCGCACGTCCATCGGTGGCACAATCTGTTCCCGATTTTAGGTGACAATGATTTGATAATTATCACCGAATCGGTGCTCAAGAGGTCGCCATTCATATTGAAACGAATGCTAAGTCTGTGGACCTATTCGTGTGACTTATATAAGACACAGCATTTCGGACACTCGATGGCAGTGGTGTTCCCATTGATGGAGTGTTCGCTGCGTTACATCTATTGCATGATTAATGCCATTCCCTCTAAACTGATGACAGCCGTCGCCAAACAGTATTACCTGACTTTTGCCGAAATACTTTCGCCAACACTTCCGGACAGTGATGGTCAACGGAACGGTATTTACCGGATATTTAGTCAAAGTTTCGTAGAAATGCTTTTGGATGCCATCGTAATACCCGACGGCCCCCGAGTGCGCGACAAACTAAGTCACGGACAGTTGGATCTGTTCCGAGTGGACCCGTTTGTGGCCAATCATTGTCTTTGTGTGGCTGTCTGTGCGCTGGTCTTAGCGGACATTCAGCTGTTTCATCGCAGAGACCATTACGAGTCCATTGCGATTGTTAGCCAACTCTTGAGGGTTGCGGCCGATTATCGCTGTTTTTATCACCCGTTGTCTCAATTAAGGCTAAAATTGATTGATTTCGAGCTAAATGTCCGCCAATTAAAGCGTTTGTCAAGTGATGCGAGTCTAAGACATGAGAATTCAGTGCCGATTGTGTCCACAGAAACTGATTTATTGTTACAAGAGTTAAGTCAATTGATTCCCACGAGTGATGGCAAAGACTTATTGCAGACAATTAGTGGTAATTTAAATGAATTAAATATAGATATCGTAGCGAATGGTAAGTCAGAGTCGGAAGTGTGTGCTTTGCGGCAAATCTGTGATAATAGCCATCAGAGTGTGGAGAATATGAGACAATTTCTGGAGATTAGACACAAGCAGTGGTCGGACAAGACATTGAGGTCCAGACAGCGGACTAACTATCAACTAATGGTGAACAGTGTCGAGTGCTTTGAGAGTACATTCTGTATAGTGTTGTCGACTTTGTATCTGATATTCATATCTGACGTGAAATTAATCGTAAGTCAGTTATCACTGGATTTAATGAAAAGTTTGCGACAATTGCTGACATTATGCGAGAATATGAGTGTAAACAGCGGCCTAACAGTGAATAAATGGGATAAATGTTATCAATTGTGCCAAACGATTGCCGAAATCGTCAGAAACCTATTGCTAAATGAATTAAAAGTTTTATTTATTTAAAAAAAACTACAAACAAAAAGTTTACTTTTTATTGCATTTCCAATGACTGACTGTTTGACAGACTAACGCATAAAAGCGATGAATAATAGAGAAATTAAAAGTAAAATAATTTTTGATTCATATATTATTCATGAATTTGGATGTAATGTCCTTAAGAGTAGTGAGAGTCTGATGTCCTTAACCTTGGATAGGGTTGGATTGGGACTGGAGTCGACTGGAGTGGTTTGGGATAGGGATAGGGATATAGAGGGATACTGTGAGTCACTATAGCGAGCATATGACTAATGTATTGAGAAATGTTTTGTCAATGAATGAGTGCATAGGACTTACGCACTATAATACGGAGCTTACGATGGTTATAGGAGTGGGATAGGGAGAGGGGAACTGGTGGTGATCTGGCTATGGGTGCTAACCATCCGTATGGGATATCGGAGCCGTCCGGTGGTCCGCTACAGCAGCTGACCCACCACTGCCTCCCTATCCATCATATATTGCATGAATGAGTGGCAACAGAGAGATCACATAAAAATAGTGACATTTCTCGTGATATAGTTATAGTGAAAATAAAGTTTTGAAAGTAAAAGTTATAGCGAATGAGAAATATACATGTTGTTTATAGTTTTTCAATTGACTTTTTATTGATTTAATCGTATTTTTCACACACAAAAAATTATTATTTCAATCATTTTGTGGCACATAGTTATGTCATTAGCTATGCGTTGACGTGTGTGTTGTATACCAACGAATTGGATGAGACATACATTGATTTTTATGGCTTTCTATACAAAATAATTAAGTTTTTTTTTAAATTTATCCATTTTTGGGCTTTTTAAGTATAAAAATGATCGTGCTAATTTATTTGGTGTTTTCGACATATTTGGTGTATAAATACAATGGACTTTTAGTACCGATGATGACTCGTGTGACTAGTGATCACAATATTTAAATATATATATATGTAATATATATGTAACAAAAAAAATTCATGATATTCTGGGCGTAAGGGCACAGGTATTGTGTGTATGTGTGGAGGGGAACGGGTGGCTATGAATAGAGTGGTTGGCCGGCGATTGAGATCCTGTGTATTAATGGCTATACATATGGTTAGTATTTGGCGCACAAAAAGTCAATAAATTAGTCAAAAAATAAATAACTAATACTTTTTATACTGGGAAAAATATTCCGGGTGACTAACAAAATAAATATTTGCCCACACTTTATACGTGTCTGAATGTCTGGGCGCCCGCCCACATACCCGTACCCATACTGGCCATACCAATTAACAATCACATTAATTGCTCTATTAATTCAAAAAATAAAATCTCTATTTTCGTAATCATGTGTCAGTTTTTTCATGAGACAAATGGCATTCAAATTCACACAAAAAAAATTTAAATACATTTGAAAAGTGAGAGAAAAAAATAATTATATATTCAACTAAAAAAACTACTAATGAATTACTGATTGATATACAGATTCTCGCAACGATTAGTCACTCACAAGAATCGACTGATATATACAATAGATATTAATATATATATAAAGTGAGAATAAAAAGGCACAGAATTTTTTCAATAGAGACATTAATTGACTCGTGTTTTGTGTATAAATAAAAATATTTATACAAATGAATCCGAAAAACGACAGTTTTTTCTCGTCATTTCGCTTATCATTAGGTGGTGTCGGAAACACATGTGGTTTTTCAGATGTGGAAAGTTGTCTTGTTTTTTAGCCACAGACACCATTTGCGCGCCCAATCATAGGGAGAGTATGGTTGGCGGCGCCGCTGACTGTCGACTGTCGGCCCCGGAATCACAGCTGTTTTGATGGCTCACTACTACCACATCCGTGTCCACCGACGTCGCCGACGACACACTTATCGACGATTTGCGACAATTGTCCGCAGATTCCGGCGACTTCTTGGGGTGCAGTGTCTGCTCCAACTCCAGCAGTTGGCCCATGAAGTTGAGGTTTGGCGATATGATGGGCCGCTTACTCTTCACGAGACTGTAGGCATCCACTAAATTCATCCATAGGTGTCTCATGAGGTAGGCGATGGTGATGGTGGCCGAGCGCGAGATGCCGGCGTGACAGTGGACTAACACATTGCAGCCTTTCTGGCGGGCTTCGTCTGTGTATGGGCACAGGTATCATAAAAATAGAAAAATTAATTATAAGAATATGATATGAAATTCAAAGAATCGATATATTTATGTAATTATTGATTAAAAACTAATTAAAAATTAGTTCAGATATCACTTGTCTTATCTGAAGTGCTGTTAATTAGTTTGGCGAGGGTTTGGGTGATATGGGAGGTATGACTAACCCTCTGATGATAGAGAGAGAGAGAGAGAGAGAGAGAGAGAGAGACTGGAGGAACGGGTGGACAGTAACGTAAGAAACAGATACTAACCGATGAAATCAAACGCTTCCTCGAAGTACTGTTTGAGGTTCTGGTGGTAGGAGTCGACGGCCAACAGTTGCTTATACCTGAGCCCCGGCCTCTGGTCGTATGTGTCGGGCATTTGAGACGTGATATTCAAGACATAAGTGATGCCCAACTGTTCCAAACAGTGACAATCGGTGGCATCCTTTTCGTTGCCGAGGAATAGGAAGGGCAGTATCGGCGAGGGTTTGACGCACGGGTCGGACACATTCGAGTCGACCATCGCTTTCATCGTAAGATGTAATCAGAAGATAATAATAATAATCACAAACTTCTTGGTGACTAAGAATCAGTAGTTTTTGACTCAAAAAACTTTGTTTTATAAACGAGTTTCTGAGACAAAACTGATGTCTGAAATGAAATGACTGTTGAATTTGGGTTTCGCGAGAGATTTGCGTCGAAAAAAAGTGGAAAAACTTTTTTTTATCGTTGAATTAATTTTACTTATTATTCACATAAACCTCTCGATCGGTGGCGAAAACACTCATACATTATAGCCGTATAGACAGCGAACATACATACAGACAGAGTATGACAGACCGGACTGGCAGACAGCCTACGAGTGCGAAGTACTGTATGGTATGGACTGACTGACTGCTGGGAACGGTATGGTATGAGTGAGTGAGAGAGCAGTTGGTGTTTGCGGTGATCGTGTCGGAGGGGATCAACAGGTCTGTGCGTTAGGAGGAGGTGTTGGCGCTGTTGTAGTAGTGCTTCCCGACACACATGCGCTGCCCTACCATCACATGCTCTTATCGTAACCGGTGATGACTCACCACCCGATGCATATGTATTGCCAAATCTAATGATAACTGTATGATGTGTGCAGAAGTTTTTGGAGGACTTTGCACACATACATCGCACCGACAGCTCATGTGTGTTACTATAACATTGTATATAACCTTTTTGTGAGTAATTATCGTTATTATGGCCTAAAATAGGTATAGTTGACTAAGCAATCAATATAATCTATAATTTTCGCTAAAACCAACTGTCCATTAGCTGATACCTATGGGCCGGTTATGACTAAACATAACCATTACTTGTGATAAACTTTTTTCGCACAAAACGTTTTCAATTAGGATCGACACCACAAACGCTATACTGAACGCACATTTCCATTGAAACCCGTATACTGTATATAATATACTGTATATTCATTGGCAGTGTATTCAGGGTTTCCTATGAGGAAAATGTTGTCAATATAACAAACATTTCGTATAAACCTCGCTAATTATGACCACATTTTGTATGTAAATAACAGGGTGTATGAGTCAACGGTCGTTATGCATAAGGATATTGTTGTTAATTGAGAATTTGTTGACCCTGGACACTTTTTTCTAACTCATGGCTATATTGTATGATACAATATTGAAACAAAATAAATACAATGTTACACGGAATATTACACATTTATAAAAATAAATAATTATTTTAATTAAATTCTAAACAAGGTTTGAACATGTACATATAACATTATGAATAATAAACTATTAGACCCCACCCGCACACCCCTCCACCCCCTTATTTGCATACCAACTGTTTAATCAGTGAAATTATAATCAAGTATTTTATTATAAGGGCTGATATGGTGGCTAATAATCGGCACCAAAAATCTCATACTATTTCTCATTAGACTTTACTTAGACTTTACACCTTATTATCAATTGTATGACTAAAACATTGTAAATCGCACTGAGAGTGTCGGCGCCCGACTACACTACCAGCCCTTCCATATGTGTTACATAACCCCCTCCCTTACTATTGAAAACTAAAATAAAACAAATGTATAAAAAGTTTTTGGAAAAAATAATATAATAATAAAAAGTCATTCAATTCTCGGAGAGAAGTGATGAAAGTTTTTGTGTTAAAAAATACTATTATATAACACAATGAGTCAAACAAAACACACACAGAATCCGTATGTATGAGTAAAATGCGAAAGAATTTTTGGTCCAAAAAAGGAAATTACATTAAAAGATGAGTAGCGAAAGGGATTGTATATTTTGGAGGGGAAAGGGATGAAAGGGACAGTAATGCCATAGTCATCCCTATGACAGCGAAAGGGATTGGAATAAATTGCTGTTAATTCAGTGTAAATGCAATTTTGTGTTCAAATCAATTCTCCAGTTCCCGTTTAGCGCGGGGATCGACAGTATAGGGATGTAGTATTCAGTGAACATCACCAGAATAATTGTGTACATAAAGGGAACGGTAGGCTTATTCTGGTGTAGCGTAACGTATCTGTTAATACATACGAGAAATCTCTACTTATATTCTGTGTATTAGTATTGTATGGCATTCATAGCGGCTATACGTAAGTGGAAAAGCATTTCATCAGATATTGCATGAAATGAATAATAAAAATAATATTTAAGTGTTTGCTTTCGTTATGAAATGTAAATAGTAAATACATAACACATAATAGAAATACATTTACACACTATTCATATACATATCGACACACAATGTAATGATTTGTTGAGTGTGTGTTACGTTTTGTGTAGTTATTGTCTAAAATAATAGTGAATTTATTATAAAAATATGTTTTAGTATTTAATGATAAAACACACGCTTATGAGCAAAGGGTACGAGATTAGGGGGCAAAGGGGTTGTGGTTTTTTTATTGTTAATTTATCATGTTAATAGTCTAGACTAGATATGCATATTATTCGCACAGAATTTGATTTTATGTTATCAATGAGAAAAAATGTGAACAACATTTTTTTTATTACATATGATAATTGAATTCAAAAGCACCGGAATATGGGTTTCAAACCCCCGGGAGGTTTTTAATGGATATGAAAAAATTGAGAAAAATATGGTAATAATTGTCTTTTCAAACGATAGGAAAAAAGTTTTTAAAATTTACGATCCCTTGAGCTCTGCCTACGCTATAGCTCTCACTCTAATCATTAGTGTATTGTCTGTGGATATAAAGGCATTTATTATTCAAAAACTGAATGATTATTAAAAATATATGTGTTTTCATCTCTCGGATCATAAATGCGATAATATTTTTGTTTTCAGACTTTTCATTCAAAAATAGATTTTTATATTATGTGTTGATATGGAAAATAGATATTTCTATATTTAGGTTTTCATTTAAACACACTATTTATGCGTTTTTATTGAAATAATATTGTTGTTTTGTATTTTAAAGGGATTTTAAAGTCGTATAACTTTTTAAATATTAATAATAAAAAAATATTTTTCACGAATATAACGGAAATTAAGTCAATATTTTAGAGTTTATGTAAATCTCTTTCTGAAGTGTTTATGAGTGCGAGAGAGAGAGAGAGAGAGAGAGAGAGAGATTTTGAAACAGAATATGAAAAATGATTTCTATATTCATGTGACTCAGGATTTAGTGTAAATTATTATCACAACTTTTTTCAAACACACATATATTTTAGTTTATATTTTAAAGTAATAATAATAACAAAGTGTTAGAAAGTCGAGAGACATATGAGAGAGACAGGGAAGTAGTGGATAAGTAACAGACACATGAGTAGAGCACCGGGAGATTGCGAGAGAGAGCGGGTAGAGTACAGTGGAGTGGGTGACAGTAGCTATCAGTGATCTCATAGCTACTAATAATTGTCTCTTACATATAATATGATAACATTTACTGTCAATAACTTATTTAGGGATATGAGTCACAACTGGTGTACACTTTCTATATGTGTGTCATTCAGTCGATGCGATGCTTTGATTTCGCATTCAATTCAATAGTCATGTCGTACTCGTCATCATCGGCTCCCTATCCCTATCTACTCTTCCACTCCTCTCTCTCTCTCTCTCTCTCTCTCTCTCGCACTGCCGTTCCTCTACACGACTGCCCCATCCAATGCCCAAACATATAGTGCCGGTGCTGTGTATTCCCCTATTGTATGCCAGTATTGTGTGTATCGCACGGATGTTTAGCACCGCCGTTCCCTTTAGGCATAACAGTACATAACATAACATTTTATATACAGTGAAACAGCGACTAAATTGCCCGACAATACCCTATACTACCAGTGCTCTAAATGCTAGTGAGTGAGTGAGAGAGAGAGAGAGAGAGAGAGGTCAGGGAGGGATGGGAGGGGAATGAGTGAGGAATCGGCGGTAAATAGAGTATACAGTTATATACAGTGTGTCTATAGATATAGTGAAGTAGTTGTGGAGCAGATGTTGGCCTGTCATTGGCTGTGCGGACATTAATTGGCGATTAGTCATCACTATTTCAATGCAAGAGAGTATCGGTAATAGAGAGGACAGACACGCGATTTTCAAAAAGACTTTTTGTGTGTGAATTACGTGTATAAACAAAGTGTATGCGAGAGAGAGAGAGAGAGAGAGAGAGAGAGAGAGAGAGCACCGGGAGCTCTATGAGAGAGTGAGTTCTTAGGCATAACATGCATTGAAATAGTGATGACTAATCGCCAATTAATGTCCGCACAGCCAATGACAGGCCAACATCTGCTCCACAACTACTTCACTATATCTATAGACACACTGTATATAACTGTATACTCTATTTACCACCGATTCCTCACTCATTCCCCTCCCATCCCTCCCTGACCTCTCTCTCTCTCTCTCTCTCTCTCGCATACACTTTGTTTATACACGTAATTCACACACAAAAAGTCTTTTTGAAAATCGCGTGTCTGTCCTCTCTATTACCGATACTCTCTGTGTCTCTCTCACACACAATCGGATAGTTAGTCATACATCCCATACCATACCCTCTGCCGACCCATACCTCCCAAACCCTCGCTGACTAATCGCAGGGCTCTTCAGACACAAATATTATCTGAAAGTGATTTTGATTTTTCTGTTCGCAATTGAATAGCATATGAATTTTGGATTCTTTAATCTCGTATTATATAACATTATATTCTTTATATTGAATGCAATTCTTGGAAGTAATGTATAGCCTATTCACGTATAATTGAATTATAATATAATATTATACTGTGTATATATGATTTCAATTATATATCTATTACTAGTATAATGAGAGACTGAAGTACAGTATATTAGTAATGAAGTTATTTTTAGTCATGAAATGATTTCAAACATTATAATTGGTATCAAATAATGTGTATATTTTTCTAAACAATTACTCCATTGTATGTGAATTACACAGAATAACAGTCATTGAAAATAAACAGTAAATACAATGCCTTTTATATAGAGTTAGATTAGATTATTGAGAGAAATAGATTTTGTCGGCGTTTATATAAATTAGTTTAACTCTTAATAGAGTTGCCGTTTGCAGTGATTTCCAAACAGTATTGGCACAGTAGGCTTAGGCTACCGGCGCTCTCTCGCTGTTTATTTCAATTGCAAAGAGTCAGCGCTATGTGTCTCCTGAGGGTACACCGACTGAAGACTTTTTGTGTGTCAATCGATATACAGTGTATATACAATATACCGATTCGCCACTGATTATGTAATAGTACACTACCAGTGCCCTTAACAACAGGTGTACGGCACGTATAGGGCTGGCTGTTTGCGGTTACCGTAACGTTAATTCAAAAGCACTGCTACTCTAAGAGTCCATTGAATTGAATGGCATATGAATTGCTAGTGTTTTGTGTTTGACAGCAGTTTCTCGGCATTGAATGCCTTTAATAATGCATTTTGTTATCACAAAACACTTATTCATTATATTGTTATTTGTGTTGTTATTATTAGATTAATTATTTGTAGAGATTTGTTTGCGCATAAAATGAGATTTTTATACAATAAACAAACTGATTATATTTTGTGAGTCAAGTGATGCTTATAAAAAATATATATAATTAAATTTATTCATGAATAATTATATTTACATTATTATTATATTTTCTGACAATTTTCAAGAATATGTATTATATTCTGTAAGAATAATAAATATAATAATCTCTCTCTCTCTCTCTCTCTCTCTCTCTCTCTCTCTCTCTC